GCATGTGTGAGACCTTGGGTTTGATCTCTGGTATTTGACAAGTTATTTTTAAAAATTTAAGAAAATTATCCTTAAAGCATATCATATATTGATTTATATGCTTGGAACTTTTTGCTGTATGAGCATGTTGGACTATACCGCTCTGAGGTTCTCATGTTTCACATATAAATGAAAATTAAATAGCCTGGAGCAGCCAACATGTAAACAAATGTTGAAAGCAATGGCTATATTGAGCTTTGCTTCTAGGTTATTATTCATGGTAAACTGTCTGCTGATTGTTTTGCACAGATTAAATGTGAATATGCTTATTGTAGGAGTTTTTATTTTCTTGAAAATCATCAAAAATTGAGTACTAGAACGCAGATGTTATATAAAACTACATAGTACTACTTCTAAATGTTATATAAAATTTTTCCATTTTCATTACTTCATTATCATATATCACCAAATATTTTCATGAGATATAATGATTTTTGAATGTGAGAATCTAAGTAATAAAACTCAGCAGATGGAGCTTGATACTTGGAAAAATTGTAAATTCACCAGAAACTGATATACTTAGGACTGTGTTTTTCTGTGAAAAAGGAAGTAACTGGGATATGAAACTTTGTGTGGGAACTTAAAATGTACTTAAATCTTTTAAAATTCACAAGACATATAGAGTTGCCTATTTTTTCAATGAAGCTTTAGGGCATTATGTGTAGCAAGGGAGAAGGTGAGCCCTGAAGTAGAAGGATGATGAACAATCTAACGTGTGAACTATGATTTTGTTTCTTGTTCTACTTTTTTTGAGAAGTAAAAAAACAACAAAAAAAAAAGTGCAACGTAGCTAGCTCAGTAAACTTATGGCAATCCTTCTGCCTAATGCTTCCCAAAGAAATGTAGCAGAAATAAGCAATTGAAATCGGGCATACCTGTGATCTAATTTACATGTTGTCATAGAGGAGTCTTTGAACACACTATAGACTCATGTGCCACCCTCATGGATGTGTGAGCTTGAAGCTGCACAGGATCCTCACTCCCAGAAGGACCTTGACGTAGCCTAACATTGTGCTCGCCCCATCTTGCAATTCTCAATAGTACTTGAACAAGGGAACCCACCTTTTTATTCTGTGCTGGACCTGACAAATTATGTAGCCAATACGACATAGACCAAATCCCTAACTCCCCCTTAGTTTCAGATGTGTGAGGTAGGGAAACTTATGAGTAACATGCCTAGCTCGTGAAGCTATTGCAGAGCTGTGACATGTGATCCAAACATATGGGAAATGCTTCGATTTTTAAGCAGTCATAACTGTCAAAAATGCATAGCCTTTAAACCCCTCAGTATTCTCCCCTCACTGTGAACACAATTATCCCATAGTATTTGCTGATTTCTAAGGCAGCTCTGAAGTTCTCCTTGGCAAAGGTCCTTACAAAGCATGATCATAATGACAGTGAATGCAGCCTCTAAGTGCCATCCAAACGCGTAGGCAGGCTCACAAAATGCCACAGTGTGTCTCTTTTCTCTTTCTCAAAGTCAAAATGAGCAAGAATGGTAAATGTTTTGACCGAATTCAGGTCACTGAGATAGCCACCACAGCACAACTAAAGAGACTCACTAAAGGCAAGTATCACCAGTGCTTCAGAAAGTGGCTTGAAAGATGGGGTAATTGTGTTTAAAGCAAAAGGGAATATTCCGAGTGTGATGAATGGCACTATGTGTTTATCCTAATAAACATTTTCAATTTAATCATTTACCATATATTTTGACCACACCTCATGTAATATGATAAAGTGCAATTTATGAGAAAATATTTTACCATCTTAGGCAACTCTGTAAAAGTTAAGACTTTAAAACTGCAAATGAAAGAAAATCTAACCAAAGTGGTTTAAACCAAAAGGAGCACTGTAAATTTTTTAATCTTTTATTTATATATATATATTTTTTTGGTACAGGGTCTCACCACACAGTTCAGACTCATAGTGATCCTCCTGTCCCAGCCTCCCCAGGTCTGGGATTACAGGTGTGTGCCACCACTCCCGGTTTTGGTGGCTGGGGCTAGTGTGACATGAGGTACTAGGGATCAAACCAGGGTTCTTGTGCTTGACAGGCAGGTCCTTACACCACTGAACTATCTCTCCAGCTCAAAAGGAACATTAGAAATCCACAGAATTATGCTCTTATCGAGAGGAGGTTGTATTTAAGCTCTGGTGGTGTATCAAGAGCCAGCTCATACCAACTCTGCAATTATTAAATCTGGGGGAAATTTTTAAATCACATGATATCATATTAATATCTTGAAATTGGCCATAGAAAGCATTCTTTTACTGGAAAAACTGGTAATGAATGATCTTTGAGTAGTGACTAGGGGCATAGATACTAGAGTCATATCACTTGTGTCCAAGGTCTTGCTCCTTTAGTTGTTAGCTGCGTGACATTAGGTAAGTTCCTGAACTTCCCTGTGCCTCGCTACCCTCACCTATAAAGCCAAGATTATAGTGGTAACCACCTCATGGGCTTCTTTAGAGGAATCGGTGTGTTTGTGTTTGTAGTAACTAAAACAATGCCTGGACCATCATAAGCATTCTACAACCTTTTGTTTTAAAAGTTACCATCTCCTAGGTCATATTTCTTCTTCTTGACTTCTACATCTCACCTTCTCTGGGTTAGTGCCAGTGCCATCCTCAGCCAAATTTCTTCTGGGCTCAAAATTCCTTTCCCAGTACAAAGCTGTACTGCATCTAATGAGTAGGAATTGGAATCCAGGTATCCACCCTTGAAAACTGCTGCAGCTGGAGGGTGCTGTTTGCCTTGGCCCTTTCTGTATCTTGTTTAACTTAAGTGGAATTTCTCAGTGTATGGCTATTAAAAAAGAATATATGTTAGGGGAAATAAACTCAAAGACATATAAATATCCACTAGTAAATCAGAGATGGCTTAATTTCAAATGCAGTTTACCATAAGATGTAGTCCCCATTAAGAATGTGATATACCAATGTGTGTGAAAATAATTAAAATGCATGAATCTATCCTTGTGTGACTTCTCTAAACTTCTCTTTACTATTTTCACATGATAGTAACACTGGTATTCCCCTAAGAAATAAATAAGCATACATGATACCACATACAATAAAATATAATGTGAAAGAATTATAAGTATGAATAAATTAGGGAGATGGCTCAGTAGAATAATCGCTTGCCTGGCAAGTATAAAAAAATTAGTAATTCCCATTTAGTCAAAGATCATTGTATGCAGAAGTCTTTTGGAAAATTTGGGGAAAAATTCATTTTCTACTTTCTAAAGAAAATTTATAATCATTAAAAATAATATAAGTGCCAAATTTCACTATAGAGAGGAAAGTATAAAAATTACATTTTAGATATTCACTTAAACTTTCTTTTTATGTATTTAGTATAGGGTCTAACTACACAGATGGGACTCATAGTTATCCTCCTGTTTTCAGCCTTCCAAGCACTGGGATTACAGTTGCCCAGCTGAGATGCCACTATACCCAGTCTCAATTGCGGTTTCAGCACACCCCATAGGTGGAGCTGGCACAGCTTGTTCATTTAAAGTTTTAAACCTGTCTAAATGCATTATAAAAACTCCTTTATCAGCAAGGAATGAGGAATTTATGTTTGCTGCCAGACAGGTGAATTTTGCTCTTAGTAAGATGCTGTCTACTATGGCAGTGTTTTCAATGTGCTTAATGAAAGTACTTGAGATCTATCTCTACTAAGTTTTTCTCTGGCCAGATATGTTAAGTTGGAGGTCAAGTTTGATTTAAGAGAAAGAACATTTGTTTTA